CTCCCACTCCCCCTCTCTCGCTGTCTCTCTCTTTCTCTGTCAAATAAATAAATAAAATCTTAAAAAAAAAAGAAATGAGATTGTACTTAGTCTTTTTTTTTTTTTTTTTTTAAATAGGCTCCACACCCAGCGTGAAGCCCAATGCGGGGCTTAAACTCACAACCCTGAGATTAAGACCTGAGCTGAGATCTACAGTTGGTCACTTAACCGACTGAGCCACCCAGGCACCCCAAAATGAAATTATATTTAAAGAAAAGCTTTCTTTCCTTATAAAGGCAACATAATGTTAAACCTTATTATAATGATGTAAGTGAATGTTGAATCCAAAAATTCCTAGTATCAAGTATTTCAAAGTTTTCATGGAAGTTCTGATTTTCAGAATATTTATGCATTGTTAGAATGGTCTTTCTACTACTAGCTTTGAGAGCACTTAAAGCCACATACAGTGCAAATGGAAACGAGTGTCTCAAATTTGTGAAAAAAAGAGATTTGGAGCAGACATCTACACCTATGCGTACAAGGAGATTTCTACCTTTTAATCCCTTCTCCAACACCTTCCTCTGAATTCACTAGGACGATGCTCTGTCCTTCTTAGACATCTGGAACTCTTCTACTAACTTCCTGGGCCCCTTACCCATGACAGGCTTCTCAGAAAGATAGATTGCATTGTTGGGAAAAAAAATGACAAATATGTCTGCAAAGTTTTTATGAGAAATCTCTCTTCAAAAGTTGTGCCAACTTAACAGATGGTAACTATACTTACTGTGGTGAGCACTGCTTAATGTATGGAATTGTCAAATCTCTATGTTGTACATCTGAAACTAATATACCATTATATGTCAACTATATTTTAATAATAATTTTTTTAAAAGGTATACCAGCTTGTTATTTATTGTTGTTACTAAAGAATACAGAGAGACCTATTCTTACCACTGTTTTGAATGAGGTAATGGAGTTAGGATCAGGTGTAATCATTGACCATAATATTTGCCCCTGGGGGGACTGTAAAAAGGTCAAAACACTTTCCTTCCATGAAGCAGGTTCCTGGATGAAGGAAAAACTCTGTGTGTCTGTTTTGCCTGAAGAAGGGGCGTCCAGGCCTACCTATTCATATAGAAAAAATATTATTTCAACAACCAGATAGCTGAAATTAATGTGGTGATATGTGATTATGACATTGTTCAGAGTAGAAAAAAGAGATATCAGAATATTTTGTTTTTGTTGGTCTCTCAGCTGCAGTAAAGGACCAAAGATTTAGACCTAACCTAGAGAATAAAACCAATTTGATTTTTCTAGTCTTTACAGTGCATTGAACAAGACTGCATTAGAAAACTTGCAGGACCAAGAGTAAATATTGCTGCAGCAAGCCGCATCTTTCTTCAATAAAATTTTCTTCGCCACTGCCCATAACAATGTTGGTGGTTGCTCTTTTACCTTTGGGAGGAGGGGAATTTAGAGATGTGGGCAGACGTATACTTTCGAGGCTTATATAATAACAGCAGTAGCCAATGTATTGTTTATATATGTCATATAGTGTCCTACAGGGCTTGTACTAGTTGGGTGCATTTAGCTGAAAGTGACAAAAATGAAACTAAAACTGGCACACATGCCAAAACAAAACAAAAACAAAAAACCAAACAACACACACACACACAAACACATACCACAACTGGGAACATATAGGGCTATAATCCTAAACAGGGTTAGTTTGAGGATTGTCTTAATCCAATGTATTCTTTGTGATTCTGAGATTCTCTTGGCTCTGGGAAGGAGACGGCTGTGGCAGCTTTGGGCTTCATATAAATATATAACAGTATCAAGAGGAAGACAGAAACTAGCTCTTAAGCATGCCTGATATTCAGCTTATATACACTCAGATGGTCTATTACCCCTTCCTCTTCATATTAGTCAACGTTCATGGTCAATGTTCATGCTCTACGGACTCTCAAGAGTACGAAAGTATTCTCTGAATCATCTAGGCCTAAGGGATTGAAAATGATTCATCTGGTTATTTTTGAACAAATTTCTGTCATTAGGAAACTCTATATTTTGAAAGTCTTAAGACTGGGTTCATAAATTAATTACTGAATTAAAAGAGGGGCAGATTAAAATGATTGGCTCAAAATTACCAGGCACTACCCCTTGAGCTGAGCTGAGTCCCTATCCCAAATTGCATTGTTATCATTCAAAGGGGGTGGGAGTGATGATAGAATGGATATTAAAAGACAGTCATAATATTAAGTACAGCATTTTACATTTATTATCTCATGTCCTCTCTTTTCTGAACCTCAGGTGTTTATGTTGCTTAACAGCCATGGTTTGAATGATTATCATGTTTTAACAAAAATCTCCTGAGATTTGGCCTTCCATACACTATCCTAATTTACTGTATCCCAGAAACTTAGGGATCATAACCAAGAAGTGGGAGATTGCTCCTGGTATTTGTAGCCCATACTGTACACATTCATGTCATTATATGTTTTACCTTGTTATTTCTCTCATTTGAATTTTCCCTTATTCCATGTTTGCTCAAAGAGTTTAAGGTCTAAATGAAGTATTGGTCCTTTATAAAGCTTTCCTAGGACTCTCCAGTTTACAACTGGTATCTCAAAGAATCATTCTTACAATTTTTAAAACATGTAACATCTGATTTGCATTATAGTTAAGTGGTTTTGTGCCCCTCCCCACCCCTGGCTCAAGATTGTAGGTTTCTTAAAGTGAAGGCCCTGTCATAATCATCTTTCAATCCCCAACACTTTACATATAGTAGAAGCTATATGTAGAAGTAGAATTAATGCTCATTGAATTTTGTTGAATTAAATCTAACATTGAGGAGAAGCTCTAAACCCTAGGCTTTTCTTTCTTCTAAAGGGGAGGACTTCATAGACATTGTTTATTGAAAATAGGCTAATGTGAAATATGTATAAATTTATACATTATAATGCTCAAGTAAGGATTTAAAATAAAATAGTATTTTAAAGAGATAAGTGGAAAGATCTGAAGCTGCAGAAGTTAATATGAACAATTCTTGCCATAAGGTCTCACCCCGTCCTGAACTAAAGGCATCTTTATTGGATTTCTTTCACCTCCTTGAATGGATTAGACTTTCTCAACTCAGTTATCCGCAACTTAACTGTTCCCTTGGCCATGAAAACAATTCCCAACACTCATCTTTGAGCTTTCAGGTGAAAAGCCAGTTTTTTAAAGAGGTCTCCCTATTACCTAAGTCTTCCTGAACTACCTCTATTCTATCCTCCTATCAAATTTGAGGTTACTTGTTTAATGTCTCTCTTCAAAGTCAGGAGATGAATTCCTCCACTAGGACAAGGGCTACATTTATTTTATTTATCACTAAATCCCTAATATCTACATGATGTGACATAATAAGTGTTCAACAGAAGAATAAATGAATTAGTGAAGCCTGTACATTTCCTAAAGGCAGGCTGCACACTGGGCTCAAAGTGTCTAGTAGCCAATACAAAGAATTTTGGGATATATGGTATTCCTGGCATAAAATCTAGTAATACTTCAGGACCAAATGAGTATGGGCTGATAAATATCAAATAATAAAACTGAATTAACAGCATAAGCATCACTGCTTTATTTATTCATTTTTAAATTATTTTTTTATTTTTTTAAATTTTATTTTATTATGTTATGTTAGTCTCCATACATTACATCGTTTTTGATGTAGTGTTCCATGATTCATTGTTTGCGAATAACACCCCAGTGCTCCATTCAATACTCACCCTCTTTAATACCCATCACCTGGCTAACCCATCCCCCCACCCCCCCAGAACCCTCAGTTTGTTTCTCAGAGTCCATAGTCTCTCATGGTTCGTCTCCCCCTCCGATTTCCCCCCCTTCATTTTTCCCTTCCTACTATCTCCTTTTTTTTTTTTTTAACATATAATGTATTGTTTCAGGGGTATAGATGTGGGAATGCTCATTTTAATAAATGAAACATGGCTCTTCCCCCTTCTTAAATTCATTTCTCTTTCCCTTTTGTTAAAACAAAACAAAACATCAATTCTGCCTACTTAAATTAGAATGAGTTTTGGCTAGTATCTTTAGGACTGTAAAGGAGTTCAGCTCAGACGAGCTGTGTCCTCAACATCAGTAAGTTAAAAATTGTTGTGGGTATTTGGACAATGCAACCTCTTGTAGTTGGCAAATAAATATTTGTTGAATGCATAAATGAGTGAATAATCCAGATGACATTCCCGAAATAGATCCTTCTTTCTCTCCCCTCTCTCTTCCCACAATCTTAGTCAAGTATTTGCTTTTGGTATCTGTTCTTAACTGTCACTTTTGCTCAATTAGTTGTTTGTGTGAAACAAAATTCAACTGAGCTATTTTGCTATGGAAAAAATGAAAACAAAAAATAGTGCGATTTTGAAATGAAAATTTAAGTTCCTTTAAAATTTTTAGTGAAGTATTAACAAGTTTTGTTTGTTCCAATTAATCTGGGCTTCAGTTCTTAATAATGAAAGAACAACATGAAGGCCGGAATTTAAGAGTGCCTGGCATTAATTAAATGGAAGCCAGTACATTTTCTATTAAACTGAGTTAACTAAAGCCTTCATTTAATATTAACACCACGTCTGGCATTACCCAATTATGATAAACCTCAGCACAGACTCTCAGGCAAAGCTCAGGAAATTTCTACTAGGGATTATTTCCAAAGTGAAAGGAAGCATGGAGACTTTCGTGACTAACAGCATCTCACACGTGACTCCGGGAACGTTCTCTAGGACGCCCCACATTTATTCTCCTCCAGCCCTAAGGGCCTCCTTAATACGGGCGTTGAACGTAAAACCGCTGGGCCTTTTCTGCAGTTTAAATTTCCCGGGGTCAAAATACCCGGATTAAAGCAGATGTCAGATTGATAAGGACTTTATCCAATAGCGTTGTAGAGAGGCGTATCCTTACACGGACGCTCCAATCGGCACGCAGAGAGTCGGCGTCTCCAAGGTGAACGCGGAAGTAAGCACGCCCCCATGGAATCGCTCCTGCAACACCTGGAGCGCTTCTCTGAGCTTGTGGCCGTCTCCCGCACGACCCACGTCAGCACCTGGGACCCCGCGACAGTGCGCCGGGCCTTGCAGTGGGCTCGCTACCTGCGCCACGTCCACAGTCGCTTTGGCCGCCATGTCCGCATTCGCACGGCTCTGGAACGGCGGCTGCAAAAGCGGTGGAGACAGGAGGGCACCTCTGGGTCCTTTCCAGTCCCCGGGTTGACGAACTTCCAGGCCCTGGGCCGCTGTGACCTCCTGCTGTCTCTGCGCCTGCTGAAAAACCGGGCGCTCGGGGATGCCGCCTATCACTACCTGCTGCAGCAGCTCTTTCCGGGCCCTGGCGTCCCGGACGCCGACGAGGAGAAGCTTCAAGGCAGCCTGGTTCGCCTCGCCCGCCGCAGCTCTGCGGTCCACATGCTGCGTTTCACCGGCTACGGAGAGAACTCGGTGCTTGAGGACTCAGTGCTGAAGACCCAGGCGGAGCTTCTGCTGGAGCGTCTGCGGGAGGTGCCGAAGGCCGAAGGCGAGGGCCCCAGCAGGTTTCTCAGCGCTCTGTGGGACCGCTTGCCCCAGAACAACTTTCTGAAGGTGATAGCGGCCGCGCTGTTGCTTCCCCCGTCGTCTCCCCGGCCCCAAGGAGAAGAGTTGGAGCTGGGCACCCCCAAAACGCCCGGACAGGGGGGTCAGGAGCTGGTCCGTTGGCTTTTGGCGAAGTCAGATGTCATGGCTGCCTTTTGCCAAAACCTCCCAGTCGGGCTTTTAACTTCGGTGGCAGGCCGCCATCCAGAGCTCTCCCGGGCCTACCTGGGTCTGCTTACGGACTGGGGTCGACTTCTGCGCTACGACCTTGAGAAAGGCACTTGGGTTGGAGCTGAGGCCCAACACGTGTCCTGGGAGGAGTTGTACGGCAGGTTTCAAAGCCTCTGTCAGGCCCCTCCACCTCTCAGAGATGAAGTTCTAACTGCCCTGGAGTCCTGTAAGGCGCAAGATGGAGATTTCCAAGTCCCTGGTCTCAGCATCTGGACAGACCTGTTGTTAGCTCTTGGGAGGGGGTCATGATAGTGCAGTTGGGGGAAAAAAAAGTTTTAGGTCTCAGCCCAGGCCCCAGTTCACTATGGGCAGTGTTCTGTTATTATTTGTATGTATAGTTTACAAAATTAAAATTCCAGTGCTTGCTCCAGATCTATATGTTCCAAGTGTCCAAAATATTATTTTAGGTGCTAATTTATAATAGGCGGGATTATAACTTAAAATTATAATTTGTAAAGGAACTGGCTTGTACTCTCATGGATTTTGTGGTTAGAGGAGTGACATTGGAAGGATCCTACTTAAAGCCAAGAGATTAACAATAGTTTGCTTATTAGAAGGCCCCTTCCTAAGAATGCTGAAAAGATGTGTACTTTTAAAAGTGACAAAAACACCTTTTTTTCTATAAGTATGGCTTACTTTTTTAGGCCCCCCCCCCCCACTTACCCACCACTCAGTAGTGAAGAGTTTCCTTTAACCAACAACATGTGTTGTCAAAAAAGTTCGTTTGAAAAGCTAACTGGCCTATTTGGAGTTTAAACCCTGGACTTTGGCCTTTTTAACCTAGTATCCTAACCAATTAGCCAGCCTCAACATGTATTAAAATTGTTGTTCAAGGAGTTTCTTATTTCTGCAAATCGCTACTCTCTGAAATTCAGAGACCAAACAGGTTTCTTTTGTTTTTTGTTTTTTACCAAACAATACTTTAAAGCACTGACTTAAGGATGAGAAAAAAAAAATTGCTTAAAGTATAGTAAATACAAATATATGCCCTTGGACTTAGCATTTGATGGTAAAACAATCAAACCAAATATGAATTAGAAGACCCAGATTTTAGTGCTTCAGCCATTGACTAGATTAATAAATCACAATCTTGGTGCTAAAGTTACCTCATATGTTAAATGAAGTGTTTAAAATAGTTAAATTTCCTCATTTTTTTCCTTAGTGGCTGCCCTATGGGAACAGTTTCGAATATTTGTCACGTGTGTGTAGGAACCTAATTTTGTGAGTTTACCCAGATGCTCCACAACTGGTAGAGTGATTCCTAATCACCAAACTTAATGGTGTTTTATTAACTTTTATTAGGGGGATATAACTTTGCATTCATAAAGATATTTTTGTCCCTATCCAGGTTAGTTGGTAGCAAGATTTTTTTGAAAATATAGGGATGTTCAGAAAGTTAATTCCTAATTTCCAGAAATGTAGTTAGAATGAGGAGTTGTATAATCTTGTGGAATTTTTAACTCTATAATAGAACGTGGAGTAAGCTACTGTTCCACTAGCATGTACACTTTTTTTTTAGATGATCCTAGGTTAACAGTAGCAGGTTCTATTTTCCTGTGGTCTGATTCCTTTTTCTACCTCTAATCCATGTAGACCATCTTTTAGATTGTTTGCCATTAATGCAAGAAGAAAGGCAATTCCTTCTGTCAGTTACATGAACTGTTTCAGGAAACAACCTAGTGAAATTCTATAGGGGCAAGTCCTAATATTGACTCAACCCTAAATCCCATAACTCTAAACTTTAGTTTTAGAGAATGACAGTTTGTAAAGTTATTTCCCTATTTCTGCAGCTATATTGCATACTCTTATTTAAAATGATAAAAATTGATATAGACTTAAGAAAATTTTAAAATCCATTTTTATACCTAACCATATCTTATTTTAGGCTCTATGTTATGTTCACTACATAGATAATCTTGTCTAATCTTAGGCTGAAAGAGATCAAGAAGAATGCCCAAGGGCACACAGAAAATAAGTAACACGGGAACAGAAGCCCTATCTGTTTTGTTTTCTTTTTTCCCCAGAGCCTAGCACAGTGCCTGGCATGTGGTAGATACTCCAAATGTTTGCATAAATGAAACCAGGATTAGAAACTTAATCTGTATTCTTTATCATATTTTAAACAGAATTAAATATTTGAAAATATGCTATTGATTATAGCAATCTTATTTCTCTAGGAATCTATAAGAAAAAGGGAGAGGAAGGAATGAGAAACAATAACTTCAAGCTTCTCATGAGTTGGCAAATAAAATGACTTCATGTCTGTTGTATTGCTGTTAGTATTATTTGAGAACATACATCTCAGTGCTCTCTTAGCACTTTTCAGGCTGGTTGTATATTTATTGAGTATATTAGACTATTTCAAATCTGAATGCTGTTGTCTGTGTGCTGGCTACTTATTCTGATTCTAGTGGAAAATGCCTAAGATTTGGCTTTTGGCGAATAAATTTGGCACATGTATGGTGTCATATGTATTATGTCATATAGTTTACAAAGTTTGACAATTAAATCATCTAGCAGAAGCTCTGTAAGACAGGGCAATGTGCTGTGAGCTTCCAATTTTATTAATTGAGACTCAGGAATTTAATCTCAACATTTGTCCAACATTGTATGGCTCTTATGTGGAAAAGCCAATGTAGATCTGGATATTTTCTAACTTAAATTGCTCCACAAACTTTCTAGGTGATTTTAGGTGATTGGTCTGTATCATCATTGTAAACTCCCAACTAACACAGGGTCTGGCACATATATTTTATTTAAATTCAGTTTAGTTAACATCTAGTATATTATTAGTTTCAGGGGTAGAATTTAGTGATTCATCAGTTGCATATAACACCCAGTGCTTATTCTGTCAAGCACTCTCCTTAATGCCCATCACCCAATTACCCCATCCTCCCCACTGACCTCCCCTGCAGCAACCCTCAGTTTATTCCCTATATTTTTTCAATATTCTTTTAAGTTTGGGTTATTACCCCCTGCTATAACTTTCACCAAGTTATTTCACTCTCTGAGAGTTTATTCATCTGTTAAATGGAAAAATGCCACCTTTTCTACTACTTAGCATAATTAAAAGATAAAATGATAATGCATATGAAAATGATTTCAGAAGTTATAAACAGGCATATTCACTTATTTTCTCTTCTTTAGGTTGATAAATATAATGTTTGTAAATTATGATCTAAATTTAATCCATTAGTATTTATGAAGAGCAACTATACATAAAAATATGAGAACTAAGAATGAAAATTATTATTTAGATTTGACCATTAAAATAAATTTAAAAAGAAAATGAGGTTAAAATGAGATTGAGAAGGGCGCCTGGGTGGCTCAGTCATTAAGTGTCTGCCTTTGGCTCAGGTCATGATCCCAGGGTCCTGGGATCTAGCCCCACATCGGGTTCTCTGCTTTGTGTTTCTTCTCTCGCTCTGTCAAATAAATAAATAAAATCTTTAAAAAATAATTAAATAAAATGAGCTTGAGAGTTTAATACAGTAAACACATTTTTGTTGTATAAATGACATAATAACAATATTAAAAGAATATCCTGTCACCTCGGCACTATTTTAATGTCTATGTATTCCTTTCCATCTTTTGGTCATATGTCCACTATTTCTACAGCTATAATAAATGTACATGCCATTTCTAGATTTTATAAAGTTATCAAACATTCTCATGTTTAGTCCTTAAAAATAAAGAAAATCTGCACTGATTATAGACTAAGTCCTAAATAAATATTAGTTAAATGCTTCTCCTACATTTAATGAGATGAAAATGTTGAGGTCTATTTCCACCTTTATAATGCTAACTTTTCTAATGATAATTTGTCATTTCATTTCTGGGATATTCAACTTAGTCAAATGTATTAACTTTTTAATATTCTGTTCCATGTATATTTTGTTTAGATTTTTGATTCTCAGTTCATAGTGAAGTTGGCCTGTAATTTTTTATTCTTACTTTTGTTTGAAATTAAGATATATTGTCCATACCATTTGAATTATGGACTGTTTCTATTTTTTGTTGTTGTATGGAAGGGTTTTATAAAATTGGAATGATCAATTCCTTGAGAGTTTTGTAGAATTATTCTCTAATATAATCTGAGCTTGATTTTTTTTTAATTACTTAACTAAAATTTAAATTTTGTTAGTGGTTATAAGAGCCGTTCACACTTCTATTTCTTCTTAAGTCAGTTTTAGTAAGTTACATTTATCTAAAAATTTATTTCATTTAACTTTACAAATTTATTGGAACAAAGTGGTTTCTTATTTTTTTATCACTAATATCTTCTTAGCTTTTTTGTCATTAGTGTATCTATCGTTCTGTTTCATTTTTGTTCTTTTTTTTTTTTTACTTAGCCTGTCTGCTTTTTTTTTGATTAGTCTCTTCAGATGTTAAATGTTACATAATGTTTACCAGTAAACTAATAGTTTATCATACATTTTTTCCTTTTCAAATGTTTATGCTATTATTTCATCTATTTTCTTTGTTTTATTCTGTTCTTCTTAAACAAGGACATTTAGCTTATTTGTAACTTTTCTTTTTGTATTATTATATTAAATTGTCTCTGGATTCTGCTTTCACTGCAAGTCTCATGTTTTGACATATATCTTTTTTGACATATAATATCTCACCCCCACATTTCAGCTAGAAATGGCTACCCAATTAGAGAGTAAATTTCCAGTTTCTCTTGCAGTTAGGTATAGCCCTCACACTATTTTGACCAGCTGTATATAAGCAGAATTGATATGCCCAACTTAGGATTCACATTCTAGGAATATGAAATTATTTGCCCTATACCCTGTTTCTCCCAGTGAACTGGAATGTCAGTATGGCGCTAGTGAGCTACTTTTAATCATATGACTGAGGGTGACTGGAACAAATGCTGTACGCTCAAAGATGAAGCTGCAGGTTTGCATGCTACTCATATCTCTGGCTTTGGAGATAATATGTTTGGCAGGGGGTTCGAGGGGTAGGGTGCGAGAGGTGACTTGGAAATTTCCCTTATTTCCTAAAATTCCAACAAAGCATTAAAATATGTTTTGTTGAGAATCTAAAAGTTTGTAGGAGTTGAGCGCTACTGAACATGCAATTATGGCTTTGCCCGAAGTAGAAGTCTTCATTTTTCCTTTAACCCATACCAACTTAACTTCTGCCCGCAATACTTGACGCCAAGTTCAAAGGATAATTTTCTGGTATCAAGTTATTTGTCCTCTCCACAACATTAGACATACCGGCATATTAAGTAGTTGATAACTATGAATGCATGCGAATGAAGTAAACAATAAAATAGGAATAGGAATGGAGTAAACATTTCTTTAGAGTGTTACCCTTTGCGTCATAT